GAGTGGGTTAAAACGCTGTTATATCATCAGTGAATTGCAGAACTGTATGTATCTCTTTTGTACCCATCATCCTGTCAAATAGGTTCTTAAAGATCAAGCTCTCATTTGCCTGGTCAGATGTAATTGAATTAATTATTCAGTACTTTGTTTAAGACAAATTACAGTTATATAGTACATACTGTATAATGGAAGACCACCCAATCCCGAGGGAAGAGGTGTGTGCTGGCCTTTTGTCTCTCTGTGTGTTTTACCTCAGAGGGACTTTCTGACAGACTGAATGACAGATGCTGGTGGGTCAAGGTCAGGTTGCCTCAAACTATTTTGTGTGAGGACAAAATGCGAGAGAGATCTCCCCTTAAAAGACTTGAGAGGCAAAAGAAATGGAAAACCACATGGGAAAAAAAAAAAAAATAGAGAATCTGTACTGTACTGTAAGAACACCGAGATTCAAGGGTCTCTTTTCTTTTGACAGGAAATCTTTTGGCAGTTGTGTTTGGGCACTGTATGCTTCTATAGACATTATGTATCAGAGAATCAAGCATGCAGCCATCTTGATAATTTTGTGTTTGAACTTTCATTTTTGTGGTAGCTCTGTGTACAGCTCTGTATGCAAATATTTATTTGTAGACCATTTTGCAAGATGTAAACAACACTGGTCCAGAAGCACTTCCTGTTTCAGTTTGTAACTGTTTTCTTTATTTCACATGCAAAGAAAACATCTAAAGAGGGGTTCATTCATAAATCCATAAGAGCTTACCTTTTTGCTGTGGAAACAGTTTCAGACTGTTTTCATATTTTTATATTTAAGTGGTCAAATAAAATCAATCAATCAATCAATCAATTTAGGATGTTGGCTTAGTTTAGCTTGTACACTCAAATTGAATAGACACATTTTTAGATCGAGTCATTCAAACCGGCCTGTATACAATATATTGATCTCTTAGCATATCCACTCTACAGGCACCTCTGATTGGTTGAACACCACTTAGTGTCCCATTGCCTGTGTTGCATTTTTATGGTAAGGAATCAATAATTCAATACTTGATCTATGGCATATTTTAAGACAGTGACAATCCACAGATTTGTCAGACTGTCACATTATGAAAATATACTACACGTTATGCTGTGTTGTATATGCTGGTGTTATACATAGCAAAATAAAACTGGAACCTGTGAGATAAGCATAATGAATAATAATCAATGTCCCATTAATGCAAGTAGACGTTTCTTTGCAAAGCATGCTTTCCCATGGAGTTATTACATAAATGTAATGTAGACTTAGAACCCTTGAAATGTAGGCCTTTTTACAATCTCATTACTCATACAACTAGCCCCGGTTGACCTATGCCAACAGGTATAGGGGCATATTACACTCTCAGAAAAAAAAAAGGTAAACTTTTGTCCATTTTAGGTGCTAATATGTACATTTTAGGTGCTAATATGTCCATTTCATGAGCTAATATGTCCATTTTAGGTGTTAATATGTCATATGTAATATGTCAATTTTAGGTGATTATATGTACATTTTAGGTGATAATATGTACATTTTGGGTGCTAATATGTACATTTTAGGTGCTAATATGTCCATTTCATGAGCTAACATGTCCATTTTAGGTGGTAATATGTACATTTTAGGTGTTAATGTACATTTTAGGTGATAATATGTTCATTTCATGAGCTAATATGTACATTTCCTGTGCGAATATGTACATTTTAGGTGCTAAGATGTACCACTAAGGTACCAATATGTAGCCTTTGGATACAAAAGTGTACCTTTTGAAAAGGTACAGCCCCAGTGACAGCTTTTGTACCTTTTTTTCTGAGAGTGTAGATGCTAAAAATCACATTAGCCTTTAAACACCACAATGACGTTTTACTTTCACCATCGGTTCATTAACACTTATTTAAATGTGATCTCCCCTCTCCAGTGTGACAGGATGGACACAGGGCCTTCTGCATGATTGCTCACACATTTCCTTCTCTGTCACACAAGACTTTCTTTTTTCTCATGTAGTTCAGCCCACTCATACATTTGCTCAGAGCTGCATGTTCCATCAGTTGAGTCATGAGGGATGTGAAATAACCACATGGCACAGCTTTAGTGATGTCACAGCGGGTTTTCATCCCTAATGCAGAACAAGCCAACCAGTGAAAGGATCGAGGATCCTTTGAGTTTCCTAAGTATTTACATTAAGCAGTGTACTAAAAAAATAAATGATTTTTTTTTTTTTTCTGCAGGTACTATAGTCCTGAACTGGGCGGACATACCACAACTCTTCTTAGTTAACGAATTAATATAGTTTAATATGAAAAAAAAAAAAAAAAAACGGTGGAGTATCCATTGAATAATAAATAAACAAATACAAAAACGAAAGTAAAGCAACACATCATAAAACAGCACAACATAAAATCAGTTCCTCTCTCGATCTCCACCGACGTCGATCCTCCTTTTATGCCTCCAGTCCTCCGTAAGAGATACAAGACTAGTGTGTCGTGCAGATGTCGCTCATTAGTAATTATATATATATATATATATATATATATGATCAGTGACCATAATCTCTCTCACACAGATTATGGGACAGCAATTAGTTGTGTGAGTATTATGGGGGAAACAAAACAGAGCTTTTTATTATGACTTACTGCTTACGACACTCAGAATTGATTAAAATTAACTGTTAATGCTCATGCTGTGACACCGCTATCATTATCCTTCTTCTCTGCTCTAGCTTTTTTTCTTTGTATTGGTTGATATTATGGCTGAGAAACCGGGGAGGGAAATGGATTATAGATCCCATTGACGTTCATATTATGGTAGCCCCTAATAGCGTATTTTTTCCACTAATTCATTTTGAAATATTACTTATCCTGATCCCTGACATAAGATAAATTATGAAAAATATGGGAGAAATTACACTTCTGTGGTTGTCCAATCTGATTGTACCCAAATCCATTGCAATCTCTCTGGATGGTTTATTCTGTTGAGTTGTTTCCTGAGCCTGCAGCACATCCCACCGTCATGGGAACGTTAAGGACTGTCAGGCTCCATAACACAGACTGTATCCTGGTTTTTGTTCCTTTCCCTTCCCTCATCCTCCTGTTGTTGTTTCTCTCACCTCTCTCCCTTAGTCTCTCAGGGGCTTTATTCTCAGTTCACCTCAACTACATTGTTGACAACTCCAACCACCCAAACTGCAGAGGAGACTTGAAGTGTGTGTTTGTGTGAGAGTGAGCAGGTTACATTCCAGAGAGAGCATTTCTGTGTCAAATATACTCTTTAGAAGCAATTACTTGTTTAGGCACTTTTTAAATTTATATACTACATTTATAGAGACCAATGTATACTATTAAGCAAACATTCATTATGTGATTAATTACAATTGCATTTAGGTTTACAGATTTTTCATTCATGTATTGACTTTTTAAAGTATATGTTTACCCCCCAAGTGCACTCTGGTTTAGAGAGTTGGACAGTCCGGAATATTACCAGGCAAAAATCTCTGAGGGAGTTTGGAACAAAAGAGACAGAAAAAGTGAAAGCCGTCTCCCTGCTTTTCAGGAAAGACAACCCTTGCAGAAATTTGTTTTGAGAGAAGAAAAGGCTCAGTTGCAGAGAACAAAAAAACAGAAAAAATAAATAAATAATAATAGACTGCAGCTGAAAGCTCTGAGGCGTTTTAAGTAGGTGCTCTCTACCTTTTATGCGGATTATGTGCATAAATACAACTGTCTGTGTAATGGCTGTCTACAATTGTTGCAAAACCACATATGAAACAAATATCTGCTTTTAAATGTAAATAAATGGTACACTTTCAGTCTGTGGCATCATGGTTTTGCAATATGTCGGACAACTTACAATTACACTTTTTGTCAGACTAATATGTAAGACTCAAATATTGATTTTTTTTTTTTTTTAAATCCACCTTTCAAATGTTGTTGTGGTAGGCCTCAAATTCAAAAATACATGGATTTTGACATTTGTTTACATTTTAGTAAATTTTTAGGGAAATTTTTCAATATTGCAACATTGTGCCTGTTTCAGTGGTTTCACTCACTGTCTGAACAAATGTAAAGAACATCTAAGGGTTCATTTGGTATGTAGGGTAGCGTAGCCTATATAGCTCCATAACAGTAGCCTATATATATATACACACTAATAATCACACGATTTTAAAGAAAGTCATATTTTATGATTTTGTTTTTTTTATGAAAAACATGTTGAAATTGTATTTACAAACACTGAAAACGTAGGCATTTATATGATTTAGCTTTGTTCATAGCCATATTCAATTATGATAGTCCCAAAGGTGGTTCTTTTCCTCTGAGAAGCAGAGATGGACATTGCACTTGCTGCAAAAATTTGATGTAGTCTTTATCACAGTGTCTGCAGCATCCTCTATTTTGTCCCCTTATATCTTCTGACACAAACTTCCGTAAATACTCATTAGTGATATCCTGACCTAAAAAAAATCAATGTTTGGACTGATAATATCCTTTTTTTAGCCAGCGATACCTACGGGGCATGGTCTGTGTCCTTGAATGACTTGATTTTGTTGGCTTAACCATCAGATGGTTGGTCATTTGGGCTGTTTATTTTCCTTCTCCAGTTCTCAGGAATATTCCACATTCATCATTTGTATCAGAATCCATTTAAACATCAAAAAACACTGATTATTTTCTATATCCCAATCATGTATCTATTGAAAGAATTCACACAATACTGCCTGGCTAGCTTATTGTGCCCTCTACTCATCATGCTAATAGCATTTATAGCTCCAATGTTCCAGAACAGTATCCCCTGTCCCTCATGCAGCAAGCAGATATTTGGTCATAAAAAAAAATACTAAAATAAATATATATATATATATATATATATATATAGTGCTACACAAATACTTTCAAATTCTAAAATAAAATGTATTCCCTAATTCAAATTGAACTTTGGATTTTGCTACTTTGGATTAAAACTTAAAATTGTAACAAAGCAGACATTTAAAAATGTGTGAATGATCAAACACATTATGTACCTATTACGATTTATTTCACATGGAGCAGGCGAGAAGTAAAATCCAAAAAAAAAAAAAACCTCTGTCAACTTTTTTTCCTTTCTAGGCAAGTTCACATGCATCGAGGTACGTTTTCACCTGGAAAGACAGATGGGCTACTACCTGATCCAGATGTATATTCCCAGCCTGCTCATCGTCATCCTCTCTTGGGTCTCCTTCTGGATCAACATGGATGCCGCTCCTGCCCGTGTCGCCCTGGGAATCACTACAGTGCTCACAATGACAACTCAGAGCTCTGGATCCAGGACGTCTTTACCTAAGGTCAGAGTGCATAATACATCAAAGTAAGAGTCTTGCAGCATCTTTGTTACAAATATGAACATCATTGAAGTAGGGTTTACATTAGGGTTTAATTTTTTTTTCAGCACTTCAAAGCATCTCTTTTCCTGCCATTCATTCTCAGTTATCATTTATTAATGCAGTCCACAGTAGAATGTGTAAATGCATCCATGTGTGAAAACAGACGTGCAGTGTGTATTGCATATTAAAAATTCATAAATGCTACATTGAGTTATGTAATACAATTAAACATTCCAAAAAATAGGCTTTTACACCCGGCAGACAGAAAATTATCTCTGATTTATAGCGGTGATGAGGACAAGAGTCAAATGGCTAGCCAAAGGCTAATTAAGGTCTCTGAGAACAACTGTTTTTGTGTGTTTCTGCTATGCAGGTGTCCTACGTGAAAGCTATTGACATCTGGATGGCTGTGTGCTTGCTATTTGTCTTTTCTGCCCTGTTGGAGTATGCTGCAGTCAACTTTGTTTCACGGCAACACAAGGAACTCTTACGATTCCGACGGAGAAGGAAGAAGTCTGGAAAGGTACGGACTGAGCTCAACTGTAACAGGCAATCTGTTGCAAAATTATGCAAAACACATCTGATTAGTGTGAAACCACATTTACAGTATGGTAAGATGTAAATTGCTTTTGTGTGTTTTGAAGGTAAGTGACAATAGAGAGTTCTCACCTTTCATGTTGATGTATACAAGTCAAAACTCAAATGTAAAATATTTGTATTTATTATCCATAAAAAATCATGAGAAATTTTGAAGCAAGTATTAATGAGTGCTGATGATGGCACACTGAGTCTGTTTGTTAAAAACAGCACGACTGTGAGTCTGATATTGCTTGTATATAAAAAAAGAAGTTAATATTGAGCAACTGAAAATAGTTCCAGTCAAATCCACAGTAGAATTGTTGCAACACTGGTGCTGTCGTTGTCGTTTGTTCTTAAATGATTCTGTGTTTTAGAACAAATCGATTGGATGAATGATTCAATGATTCATATTGATAGTCACTTTAAAGTGGTTTTGAATGAGTCGGTTGAATGTATGATTAAATAGCTCAATCATTGAATGAAATTTTCTGGAATAATTTATTAAGACAGACACTTGTCGCCACCTACTTGTGTAACAATTTGACCTGTAGAAAGAGTCACTGACAAATACCCACCAATACACATACTGTCTGACATACACCAAAAATTATATACAATTATACAAACAGTAAAAAGTTCCCTTTATGTTGATCAGTTATTCCGGAAGTCTAGTCACAACTCAGCCAATCAGATATACAGACCAAACTGAATTGCTTTAGAAATAAATGAATTAAAATATAATTGATATTACAGCTTTTATATTTATTTTTGTGCTTCCAAAGAAAATATTTCCACAAGAATCAGCTCTCTTGGACTGCAAGTTCAATCAAATTAATGGACCTTATATATGCTCTTGTATAACCCTCTTAAACTTGGGGTATAAAGATAAAAAAATATATATTCTCAGAAATATCAGTTGCAAACACACCCTTTGTCAAGTTAGATTAAAGGTAATTTATGACAGTTCATAGCAGATTCATTGATGTTCACAAAGATGTTGATCCAGGAACATGTACTTAAATAAAAGCAGGGATAATTGTACACACATTTGTATCTGACCAGTTCTCGCATCACATCTGTCTTCCTTTAGTTTTTTCTCCAAGGGGGAAATAAAAGCTTTTCTGTGACTGGTCAGGTTTTGCGGCCTTTAAATAATAATAATAATTACTGCATTTCGATTTACAGTAAATTAAAAATACTGTATTTTAGTGGTGCCAAGGTGATATTTCCCACAATGCAACTTTAAAATACAGTAACATGCTGTATAACTGTCCTACAGTAAAATGCTGTGAAATTTACAGAAATTTCTAACAGTGAAGATTATCTGTAGCATATTATACGTCTAAAAACAGAATCCCACAGAGTACCATTCAAAGAACTGAAGTGAATTTGAAAATCCAATCGTAAGGATTTTGCCCTGTATGAGGAGAAACTGTCACTGCACTTGAATCTGACTGAAGCAGATGAATGGGAGACAGACAGAATGTATGTGCCTTTTAGACATGCTCAGATATACAGTATACTAAATGCACAGCCAAACACAGTTTAACTAATGTGTATTTTCTGGAAGGCATATTGAGTTTGAGTAACATGTAATGTCACATTAACAACAGTCTATCATTGATAAAGTTATTTAAAAAATCGTTATAATAAGCATCTGGAATCACGACACTGGTATCACAGAAACACCCATATTGTTAATCCTAAACATATACAACACTGCCCCCTATAGGACAGAAGTATTCATTGAAGTAATATAGCATATAAGTATAAGTATAGGCCTATAGCCTATAGAAGTATATAACTTTATAACCAAACATATTTCAAACAAAGGCTAAATCCTGCTGAACACTACAAAGGTCAAATTGTGATTTTGTGTCTGTTTATATGCTGTCTTATTGGAGTGTATTCAAATGTCATGTGGGCATGGGGTGTTATTTCCCCTGGCACTATGGCGCTGGAAGATTATTGACTCATGATATGAAACTTAGCCAGTGGAATATTCTGGAAATTTTCATGAAGAGAAGAAAAAAAAAGAGATACAAACCAGACAACCCATCACAGTTTAAATGACATTATAAAAGCAGTCCAGGCACAGCCACAATATTTGATGCTGCAGATGCTTTACAGATCCAACCACTTGATTATTTTTTTTTTTTTTTAAAGAATACCCATTTTTCATGCAATTTCATTATTTTACAGTACATGCCTGAAATAGTTATTTTTGAATGCCACTGATTAATATTTTGATTTATTTTTCAATTATGGACCTCACATAATATCCTGCATGTGGTAAGCCATTATATTTTATTAGTTTGCATGCTTTGTGTTTCTTTCTCTCTTTCAATCCCCCTGCTGTGCTGAAAGACTTTCGATCAAACATTTGATGAGGAGCTTACCGAGTCATTGCGTCATATCAATGGCCTACGCAGTGCCGAGCCTGTTTACGGATCAATGAACCAACTCGACGAATCCAATGACTGGGTAAAGAGAGAGCACACAGCACTCCATCTCTGTCCCTTCGGTTGACTGATGAGATCATGATACAGTCACTCCTCTTCATCCCCTTCTTCCTCGTGTTCATTCAGTGTCAACCCCTCATGAAACAGCATGTCACATCATTTTATCATTTAGTACTAATGATCATAATGTTAACTAAGTATCCATTTGAGTCTTTTATAAGCATATAATGGATTCATTTATTTTCATCTTTTTTTCCCATTTTTTTAACCTTACTTGAGGTTAAATTTGTTAAATTGGATTATGCATTTGGTCTCATGAACTAACTTTGGATATGATTTTTAGAGCATTTATGTAAGTTAATGTTAATTTCTACATATATCAACCCGGTCTCATCCCAAGACGTCATATAACTGACGTGTTGGGACTTCTTTTGACCATATGTCAATATTCGCCTTTTTAGGGCCCCCTTAAACGTCGGTAGATGAGGTTATGGGATCCTAACTCTACCCCAGACCTAAACCTAACCCTAAACCTAACCGGTCACCTAACTGACGTTAAAGGTAAAGCGTCAGTTGTATGACGGCCCGGGATCGCCATCTACCGGCGTTTAAGGGGGCCCTAAAAAAGGCGGATATTGACGTATGGTCAAAAGACGTCCCAAGACGTCAGTTATATGACTTTTTGGGATGAGACTGTGTTATATATATATCATTTTAACAGACTAAATTTATTTTGAATGAATATGAATTAACTGTATACAATTAATAGTATATTTACAAATTAACAATTGCTACACTGTTTTTAGATAAAACAGTCTATTTAAGGCCCCGTCCACACTACTGCGTTTTCGTTTAAAAACGGAGAATTAAAACGAATACGATCTCCGTCCACACCAGCGTTTTATCTGCGTATTAGAAACGATCTCCGTCCACATTAAAACGACTGAAAACGCAGATTACGTGACCATTCACCAACACTGGGCATGCGCGTGCCGGTGTAAACAATGAATGACGAATCAGGGAAGGATGCGTCATGACTGATAACACCCAATCATAGAGCCAAGCGTCAGCCTCTGCGTCAGCGTTTCTAAAGTTCTCCGTTTTGTATGGTTTTGTCTCGTCCACACTAAAACGCACTCCGGAGATTCAAAACGCAAAACGCAGCTGCAGCGTTTCTAAACTTCTCCGTTTTAGGTCTTCGTTTTTCCCGTTTTAGTGTGGACGGGAGGTGCAAACGTAGCAAAAGGTCTCCGTTTTTAAACGAAAACGCAGTAGTGTGGACGGGGCCTTAGAGCATGCCATAATAAATTATATTCTAATACATCTGTAGATTCCCCGAATGTTTAAGATAATACAAAACCCTTCAAAAGTTCAGGGTCAATAAGATTTTTATTGAGCAAGGACGCATTAAACTGACTAAAAGTGGCATTAAAGACATTTATAATGATTTCTATTTCAAATGAAGAAGATGATGATGATCAAACAATCCTGAAAAAATATTAATCAGCCCAACAAATACTGAGCAACAAATCAGCATACTGTATTAGATACTCTATATGTTATATATACAATATATATATATATATATATATATATTATATATATTATATATATACACATATATATATATATATATATATATATAGTATATACTTTATTAAACCATTGGAGCAGACTACCAATGAATGCAAATAAGCATCAAATAAATATACAAATTAAGTACATTTTCACCTGATGTCACACTCAAGACTTACTAAATTATTATCTTCCAATAAATGAAACATGTCCATGTTTTATTAGTGGGGAAGAAAATAAGTAAGTAGTGTTTTATGGGTTCGAATTTTCCTCTTTCTACCAAAGTCTTCTTTAATTGTCTGAAAATCATTGTTGACAACAGGACAGAAAGCCAAGGACATTTGTCAAAAGTAATAAATAAATAAAATGTGCATGCAAGCAGGGCATTATTTGGGCAGAAACTTAAAAGTAATTTAAAGTGTTATGAACATCTCTTAAATTAAACAGAGTGCCAACACTAATTTACTGTTAAAAAAAAATCCCCTATGAGGGAAGCAACAGGTTTTATGAATGTAGGACTATAGAGTAATGATTGCTTCCCTCTTTGTATTCTTTCCTATTGCTAAGGAGGAGGATGTACGGGAGAGCAGGTTGAGCTTTCCCAACGCAGGGAAAGACGGGGCTGTGCCCAAAGCTGCAAACAATGCGGCCCCAACACCCTCTGACCCAACCCTTGCTGCCAGCAAGAGTCATGAGGAGATGAGAAAACTCTTCATCGACCGAGCCAAGAAGATCGACACTGTGTCCCGTGCCGGATTCCCACTGGCTTTCTTGTTTTTCAATATTTTCTATTGGGTTCTGTACAAAATCCTACGCCATGAGGATGTGCACAAGAAATAGATGGAACATGGCGTGATGCAGCTTGGGAAGTATACTGTAAGTAACACAGTAAAGCTGCATCAAAGAACTCTAATGCTATTACTGCCGTTCCTGCCATGCTCTATGCTGAATTCTGAAAATTACTATGAAAAACTGTGATATCAAGGACCAGTGGTTACTTTCAATAGTTTGTTTTGTGTTGTGCACCCATTCAAGGACACTTGCGCTCGCTCACTATGCAATGGATCCGTAAGGCCTCTGACCCACCTGTCCTTTAACAAACTACAATAAAAGTGACAGAACTTCCTCACATCTGCTTAACACAGGAGCACAGTCCGACACCGATTACAGTCCATATAGAGACAGATGTGTGTGTCTTGCCACTGGTTTTGTCAACTCTTACAGCTTTACTGCCAATGTTCTACAGTATGTTGTATTTTTGATACACAGCTATTGAAAAATGGCAAGTATATATTTGTCCTGACCTGATTGTTGACCAGCTCTAGAAACCAGCATCCAGGCCAAAAACATTCTGAGCTAAGTCTCAAGAATGACCCTGAACCAGCAGAGAAGATTATTCTGTTTACAGCTATGAACACCTTCACATTAACTGCTTCAAGAAAACATATTTCCAAAACTTTAATGGGTAGTGTACTTTCAGTACCATAGACTATAATTGAAACCATTCTACAAGTCCAACTGTTTTTTTTTTTTTTCCTCAAACAAAAGCATTGTTTGAGAAAACCATTTTAAATCACTTCAAGCTAATGATGCCACTGCAAAATAATGCGACTGGGAGTGAATTCTGTCAGACATGTGTTGCAAATTCGTGAATGGAGAAAAGAGGTGAACCAGGGTCTCAGCCTTTGTGTTTTCTGAGAATACTCAAAAATAAGTGCAAACAAATTCTCTCGTAATTAATAAAATATCAACGCATTCTCATCCTTTAACGCAGAGATGCCCAAACTAGGGCCCGCGGGCCAAAGGTGGCCCGTGTTGATTTGGCCCGCCATACCGTCCGGGGAGAGGGGATTTCTTTAAAATGCAAAACTTTACAAATAAAACTGCATTAGTTAATCAGATTGAAGTTGTTTTATATTTATTTGAAATATTATAAAATAAATAAACCCATAGCAACTTTAATGTAATACCGTTTGATTTATGATGCAAAATTTACTTTTGGCCCACGGCCCACAATCAAGTTTGATTTTTGGCCCTTCGTAGGAAAAATTTTGGGCACCCCTGCTTTAACATCATATAGAACGCTATATGCAAAAACGGCGCTATACTACGCACATGGCACCCGTTATCGTTAATATAACACGCGCTGTGGGCTAAGTTTAGGTGTGGGGTAGGGTCTGCGTGTCATATTCACGCTAAAGGATTTATGACGTTTGGGTTCGCGTGTTATATTAACGATAAAGGGTGCCATGTGCTTAGTATACCGCCATTAATGGTGATTATATGGCTTTTGATTTTGACTAAAATAGAGATCTATATTAAGTTCTGCTTCTATATTTGAATTATCCATATGGCACTGAAAATGTATTTGAAACAATGTTTGACAATATTATCAATATTTACTGTTGTACTGTTCAAAACAATGAAATTACTGGGACCAGACGTTATTACGCAATATATATATGTATATTTAATCATTTTAAATAATATTTATTTATTTATTTATTTGAAGATTTATTTGAAGATGATGAAGATAATAAGCATGGAACCTTGTCTGGGAGAAATGTATTTCCTTTACTTTGAAAATAAAAGTAATCTGCAGGAAAACTGTGCCATACAAATGATCAAAGCATATCATGATTCATGTCTCACATATTCCTAAGATAAAATAGAGCTGTGAAAATAGGAATTTCATAGACATTTACAGTATAATGCAAGAGCAGTTGTAATTTATTTTGTGCATATTAATATATTAAATGTTATGCATGAACTTAAGTCTGTTGTACTGCATTTTTTTAAAAATGTGAATCTGACCTGTCAGTCTTGTTCCCGCTGCTATAATCAAAAGAGAATTGGTTTTGGTGAGACGCATTTGTTCCGTGTACATCTGCAAATGGTCACGCTCTACTTTACGGTGTCCACATATAGGCTAGCATAGGCAAGTCAACAGTTAAAACAGCACATACAAATGCCACACAAAACAGTTTGTCGGTATTTAAACTTTTATGAACACTGTAATGTAAAGTGTAAAGTTCGTTTTTAGGTTTACTGAGGCGCCCTCTGACTAGACTGAAAAATAAAGATGTTTATAAAAGCATCTTTGGTCTCTCGTTCATTTAGGTGCGTTCATTTTCTCCCTTACGTGTGTGTACTTGTTCTGGATTCGACTGCTGCCGAGGGCATTAAAGAGCTAACAAAAAATGTTTGAAGGCTAATCATCTTTTGGGGGTGAATGATAGTTTGTAAAACGACACCTGCCCGTCTGTGTTTACTTTAGTAGTTCTGAATCTACACGCCCCCATCTGACTGTACGCCTACATAAAGCAGTGCGCGGTGCGTCCGGCGGTGAGCAGCATGATTCTCCACGGCAAGGTGGCTCTGGTCACCGGCGGCGCGCAAGGGATCGGAAGAGCCGTGGTGGAAGATCTCCTGGGGAATGGGGCGAAGGTTTCGCTTTCTCAAATTTCTATTTTTTTTCTTTTATTTAAATGGACATTTTAATGCGGATTTATCCAATTAACTATTGTGAAAACTTGTACAAATGTAAACTATTTTAGTTGCCTTTTGTTGCAAATTTTCCCCATTTGATCTTTCATCATTTGATGGCTTTAGTTAGTTTAGCGTTGTGATATTTATTTATTGACTTTTTGACAATTCAGGTTGCAATGGTAGACCTAAACCAGTCTGTGGGAGAGGAATGTAAAAGTGATCTAGATGGCCAGTTTGGAGAGGATAGCTGTATTTTTATCCAGTGTGATGTGACGGACTCGGAGAAATTTAAAGGTAAAATCATACTTTTTTACTTAGGCTTTTACTTATAAGGCATTTATCATCCACTTCTCATTGAACACCTGTATGTGAAGTGCATCTTATTCCTGAACAGAGTCTTGTTGTTTGGGAAGTTAATTAGGTCATAGTAGACCTTCATAGGGCCCCAGGTCAACATTGAAGAATGTTAGAAGTTTTAACACAATCAAATGTTTTGTCTTTTGTTAAAAAAAAAAATTTCCAAGTCAATGGTTTATGGATCGGTGGTGAGGAGATTGTTCATTCCTGTTGGACTTGTTTCTAACAAAACACTTACTATAGAGTTTAATTAAACGTTTCTTTGTGGAATGCTGCAGCTGCAAGTCAGGTGAGGGCACATGCAGGCTGACAATGGCTGTATTTCAAAACCTAGTGAGCTGAATTGCTTATTTGGTTTTGATACAGCCACGTTGTACTGCTGCCAAAAGTGGAACTATTATTATTGATAATGATCAAAACATGAAAACTGTTTTTCTTGCTTTAGACGCCTTTCAAAACACAGTAGATAGGTTTGGTCGATTGGATATTGTCATCAATAACGCTGGAATCAACAACGAGAAGAACTGGGAAAAGACCATTGAAGTAAATTTGGTGAGTTAACCCTTAAATCATCGATATATCGCCAATCATTATTACATATTCGGGTCTATGTCTAACACGGATACATAATACCTGTTGTGATAATTTAAAACTCTCCTATAACAATTACGGAGGAATTAAATAGAGCAAATTTTGTTTGTGGAGCTTGGAAGGGTTCAGTTTGAGCAGATGTTTTATATCATCATCATTTAATAGATTTTAATTAATTATTCTACTTTCTGTGATATAAATATAATACACTGTTACACACCTCGGGTCGTTAGCGACCCTATACAATTTTTACAAAAAAATGTAAGGGTTAAAAATCACTTGAAAATACTCACTTGAATAGATCATGCCAAACTGTTGCATTTTCCACTCAACCTCATTTCCTTGAACACATGATTTACACAGTGTGTGTAACATTTCATGCCTTAGGGCACATTCAACCACACTTCAGGAAAGCAGTTACAAATTCACAAAACAATACTACACCCCCTGCTTCTAGTCCAAAAGATTTCACAATAGTACATGAAATAATCGACTACAGGTATTAATTATTCATGCCCTGCAGAGTGATTTCATAATGGACATGATGCAGTAATATAATGTATTTGAAGAGTTCAGATGCAAAAGCCTCTAAATGCCATTTGAAATTTTCTTCTTTAATGATGATTTTTATCAAACTTGTATATTTAAGTTCAGTAATATCACTTAAATAACAATTAATAGGTAATTATCATTGCCATTTAAGTGAAATTACTGAACTTAAATATACAAGTTTGATAAAAATCATCATTAAAGAAGAAAATTTCAAATGGCATTTAGAGGCTTTTGCATCTGAACTCTTCATTTATGTTAGTTCATAATAACAAGCCAATGTCAACATAATCTTGCTCTCCTAAGAACACATCTGTTCAGTATGTGCTCGTAGATTTATACAGCTGTTTTCTTCCTCAGACATCCGTCATAAAGGGGACATATTTAGCACTAGAACACATGAGTAAAGAGTATGGAAAGGAAGGAGGAGGGGTTATCATCAACGTCTCATCCATGGCAGGTAAGCTACTGTTACATGCGTGTTTTGAAAAAAAAGTTAGCCTAAAAGTAAAAACAAGCAAAAAAGAAAATAGTTTAGAGTATTATGCTCAAGAAGATTACATAACAGTATTTTGAAAAATGACACAAGCACAATTACACCTGAATAATATATTGCATAACATATGCTGTGTATTTACTGGAGATTACAGATAAATGACTTGCTTGATGATTAAGATGTAAAAGAGTCTAAACCTTTAGCATAACAGGTCATTTGGGCACACCTTTTTTTTTTCCAGGAATGTAGTTTTGAAATGATCGCAGGTAATATTAACAAAACGAGCATGAAGCAAAACAATAATAGCAGTATGCCACAATGAGACACGTTACCTACAAAAAGCATCTGCTTTAAAATGCACTCAAAGTTTCAAAGATCAAAATGCATGAATGACGATTCAAAGAATTGATTCTGAACTAAAACGAGTCGCCAGTAAGTCCTGTCGTTGATAAGGTAAAACCGACACCATCATTACTGTTTGTATCATTGCGTATAAAAGTGCTGAATTTACTCACCCCCATGTCATCCAAGATGTCCATGTCTTTCTTTCCTCAGTCGAAAAGAAATTAAGGTTTTTGATGAAAACATTCCAGGATTTTTCTCCATATAATGGACTTACATGGGAACCAGACGGTCGGAGGTCCAAACGACAGTTAATAACAGTTTTAGATGCTGCTTCAAATGTCTTTAAACGACACCAGACGATGAATAAGGGTCTCATAATGCGAAACGATCGGTTATTTCAAAACTTATTCCAAAAATGTAACTTTTCTAAGGACAAATGCTAGCCTAGCTCTATTCTGTGAGGCGCGTTTGCAGCGTCACGTAATACGTAATTATGTTCAAAAGGTCACGGGCGACGTAGCCAGAAGTACAGAATCAAAATCGCCCGACATCGTTGTTTTACCTTTTAATTCCTTTTTTTGTAAACGGCGTTTGAGTTAGTTTGCACGTTCAACCTATGCGTTCAATTTGTGAACACTCTGACTCTGTACTTCTGGCTACGTCGCCCGTGACCTTTTGAACGTAATTACGTATTGCGTGACGTTACAAACGCGCCTCACAGAATGGAGCAATGCTAGCATTTGTCCTTAGAAAAGTTACATTTTTGGCATAAGCTTTGAAATAACCGATCGTTTCGCATGATAAGACCCTTATTCATCGTCTGGTGTCGTTTAAAGACATTTGAAGCTGCATCTGAAACTGTTATTAACTGCCGCTTGGACCTTGGACCGTTTGGTTCCCATGTAAGTCCATTATATGGAGAAAAATCCTGGAATGTTTTAATCAAAAACCTTAATTTATTTCGACTGAGGAAAGAAAGACATGGACATCTTGGATGACATGGGTGTGAGTAAATTATCAGCAAAAGTTTTTTCAAAAGTGAACTAATCCTTTAACCTAGGTTTTTTTTTAAGTCCAATACTGAATCAAAGAAGAGTCAGCATAAAGTAAACAAAAACTTTTTAGGAACAGCCATTTCAATAGTCTGGGATATTGCAATGTGTGAGACATTTCAAGATCTGTCTCACACTAATTATTTACAATACATTACTGGGACACCACTTGCTTTGAAGTTGTATAACCCATGTGCTCTATCGATGGCGTTGTGCCAATTCACACAAGCAAATCCAAGTTCACACTAAAAAAATATCACCAGAATTTTATTTAAGCTCCCTAGAGGATGAAAAAAAATGCAACCGTAAATCAACAGCATAACTATTATGACAACAAAGGGAATGCTATCCATCTGCCATCAGATACCTGTGTTGTGGTGCCATTGAGTTGTTTGGACTGACAAACTGATTCTGGGCTTTGTTTTGAAGATATGAATATGATTTTGTATATATGCGTCTACATGGTGGATGATGAATGGTGCATGGCTGACAGTGAACTTGTTATAACCCCCAACATGCTCCACAAGTTTTTAGACTTTGGATTTGAAACAGCCATCATTTCTCTGAGAGATGGGATAAAGGATGGTTTATTTCCCTCACTGGATTTTAAGTTTATATCTAATATAACACAGGTGATGGTTCTTTTATTGTGAGTAGAACAACTCTCACTTTGTGACTGTTAATGGAATTTATTTTCTTGTAACTGGAGATTTATACTCTTTTGAATTGTGTTGAGGCAACTCACTTTCTTTCATTGCCCTTACTTCCAAAGCTGGAAGCTTGACATTGTTGCTGTTTAACCACACATTAAATTGCATAACGTTTTATCAGAAAGTAACGTTAAGACTAAGTTAAAATATAGGCCTGCTTCACCCTCCTTAAACAACAATGAATCAGTGTTAATGTTGACAGTAAACTGGGAGGAAAACTAGGTTGCCCTGAGTAGTGTCAGATCCAGTTTCACATCCACAAGTAGCAAATGCACTAAAAACAGACTTGATAATGCTATAAATAGAACATTATAAATATAATATGAATAATGCGATTATGATTTGTCCTCAAACCATCTCACAGAACAGCATGGAGCACCAGTTATTTTAGCATACTATTTCTATAATTTAAACTACATTACTCTTTTGTGAAATGGATAATAATAATATAAAGCATATACACATCTGGTTTTAGAGCATATAAGTCGAGTGCTAAGATAAGTAACTTAGCCATGCTGAATGGACAACCCGATCTCACGACTGATGCCTTGTTCACACTACATGATTTTAAAATGTCGGGCTGAACTGTGCGGTTCACACTATATGACTTGCTCTCAGTGAAATCTGGAGTGTTCAAGTTGTTAACTGTTCACACCACACAACACAACGTGATTGATCCACAACAGGAGGTAACTCACTACACGAGTTGACAACGCACTGCATAGAGATACAACCACGATCGGATGATAAGAGCAAATCATTTGTGACTCAATAAGAGCTGTTTCAGTACTATGTTACGGTCTAAATCCTGAAAATAATCAAATAAATAACAAGTTGACAACAACCCTGTCACCCAACGATTCTATCTTGTCAACAAACCACGTTTTGTCACGAAAAAAAACACGCAATAAATAAATAAATATTGCGCCAATACCCAGCGAAGAAGAGAACACAACACGTGAATATGGACGTCAGACAGAAACAAGTGCTGCACACTGTTTGCTCGACGATCTGCTCTGAGGGAAAAAATGCAAAAAAAGAGAGAAAAAACTAAGATTTACCTGGTGTCCTCAACCCATGCGTTGCTATGATTGGCTGTACTCATGACATCACTGAGTTTGAGTCGCGCGACTGCTCTGGATATCTAGCAGGCTAGATATTTTTCTGGGCTCGGTGACGCGTCTGCGAGGCGTCTGCGAGCGTTTTCGCTGCGTTGTTGGCTCTTTCATTCTAACAGATTGGCAAGCGTTCATCGTCCGCTAATCTCCCGCGATTTGCACGCGATAACACCCTGACCTGTCGGCGACTCAACGATTTGCAAATCGGGCATAAATCGGGCTTAAAATCATGTAGTTCGACGAATGATTAAAAAGTGGCTAAATCGTAACAATTCATACGACCTCACTCGTACGATTTTGCTAAATCGTACATATTTTACGAATTGGCCAACTTGTATGAATTCATACTCTTGACCTACCCCTTACCCCACCCCTAAACCTAACCATCACGTGGGTTTAGACAAATCGTACGAATTCGTACGAGTGAGGTCGTACGAATTAGTGCGAATTAGACCCTTTTTAATCATTCGTCGAATTCGTACGAATTGGTCGTGAGATAGTGTTCCAACGGAAACATGTCTTTGTAGGAAGACTTTATTGTTTGATTTACTTTTTTTTTAGGATCTTACTCCTTAATTAACATGTTTACCGACAAGAAATCTTGACGACTGTCTCTGAGATGTTAATACAGAATGGGAAACAGAGCCTTATTTTGTGCAAAAGTATAGGTTAATTTCTGGATGTGCTTTACTGTTGTGTTTAGATTTGTTCATCCAGAACACACAAGAATTGTTTAATTGTAAATACTCTCTCAGCTATTTGCCCCTTGGCTGCCTCGGTTTGATGCGGCTTGTAAATGTTGTTTATTATAACAAAGCCTCAACGCTCTAAGGAGACATTGTTCTATTTGACTTCTCCAATAACTTTCCACATAAAATAAAGTGTATGTTTATTTCAATATATCGTTATTATTATTAATATATGAATATTCATTATATTGGGAAAAATGCAGGTGACTTTTCCAGAGAAATTTGTATTTTCATATAGGTAAATGAACAACCAAACATGCTCTTTTGTCATTTTCCAAAGAGCCACTTTAGTTTAAAAAGACTCAACAGCCATTAGGATTTTCATACTTGAATTAAAAATTTTCCATGACGAAGAAATTGGAAGCCATTCACAGGCTTCGTTTTACTACAGCCTCAACACGATAAAAGCATTGCACTTGCCAATAACAGACAAAAGCTTTCATTCAGTCTCCTGGATTTTGACATGAACATTAAATAAATATAAATAATGCTCATTTTAGCCATGTACTCACCTCCATGTTTTAGACCCATGTTTCTGTGGGGAAAAAAAGGAAGTTATTCTGAAGAATTTTCACACGACTCTATTACATACATTGACAGTTCATGTGATATGTTCAAAAAAAAAAAGCACCATGAAAACCATACGACTTTCGTCCATACGACTTTCGAAACCATACGTCCATACGACTCGTGTGCTATATTCCACATCTCCTCGAATATGTGGGGAATACATAAACATGTTATACCCTAACAATCTTAAACTCCAGTGTGTTGTAACTTGGGAACTGTTGAGTCAACAAGTTGAACTCAGATTTGTGGACCGAAAAGAACAAATCCTGATCTGGTTCTCAAGTTCAATTCACTGACATAATGATTCAATCGCAGTTAATATCGCACTCATCTCATTTCTTCAAAAGAGACTTAAATTTTGGCCTGTTGCTCACACAAATACCATATGGTTTCAGAATACTTGGAGTATAATGTTCAAGTCACATATATGGTGCATTTCTGGAGCTTAAAGGAGTAGTTCACTTTTAAGAAAACTTTTGATGATAATTTACTCACCCCCATGTCATCCAATATGCCCATGTCTTTCTTTCTTCAGTCGAAAAGAAATTAAGGTTTTTGATGTAAACATTCCAGCATTTTTCTCCATATAATGCACTTCAGTGGGAACCAAACGGATCAAGGTCCAAAAGATACTTGCAGTACAAACTCCAAACTGTTCAAAGGGCTTTAAACGATTCCAGACGATAAAAAAAGGGTCTTATCAAGCGAAACGATCGCTCATTTAATAAATAAATAACAAAGTTTAAGTTTTATAAGCGAAATGCTCGCCTTGCTCTTGCTTTCTACTGCGATGCACTTTTGTGACTCTCCTGTTCGAACTTGTTCATCAAAATGAATGAGTCATTTGGTTCATTCAATGAATGAAATGAAGGAATTGACTTGGAAAAAGATTTTTTTCATTTTGATGAACGAGTTCAAACAGTGTCTTTTGGACCTTGAACCGTTTGGTTCCCACTGAAGTGCATTATATGGAGAAAAATGCTGGAATGTTTTCAAAATGAATGAATCTTTTTCTGAGTCATTTGGTTCATTCAACGAATGAAATGAAGGAATTGACTCGGAAAAACATTTGTTCGTTTTGATGAACGAGTTCGAACAGTGTCTTATGGACCTTGAACCGTTTGGTTCCCACTGAAGTGCATTATATGGAGAAAAAATGCTGGAATGTTTTCATCAAAAACCTTAATTTCTTTTCGACTGAAGAAAGAATGACAAGGACATCTTGGATGATATGGGGGTGAGTAAATTATCAGCAAAAGTTTATTTTCAAAAGTGAACTACTCCTTTAAAAGTCATGGTCATATGGAGAACATTTTTTTGGGTGGCTGGAATTAATGTTTGTTTTGTTTCTTCACAGCATTTCTCCATTCTGCTCACCAGCCAGTGTACACAGCAACAAAGCATGGGGTGATTGGATTTTCACGAGCCATAGCAGTGAGTACATCAATCAGTTTACCCTAAGTAAAGTTTACCGTAACCATATGTAAATCCTTTCCCTAAAATGTGGTAGATTCCAGCTGACTACCAAACCGGCTGTCCCAGTGCGGTTTAAACAGTCCAGCTCCCCCCCCCGAGAGAGTAGTTGTGTTTGCTCACAGATAGGATCTCTTACTCGTGTGTGTTGACACATTCTTTGCGCTGTGTGTGTAATTTAGGCTGACCGTGTTTGGACACGTTTTGTTGTCGGCAGGACGCATCTGAACAGGGCAATTATGGAGTGAGGATCAACACACTGTGCCCAGCCTTTGTGGACACCCAACTACTACTGACCGTGGAGCATGAGGAAACAATGGGCAAGTTTGTCAAGTACAAGGATGAATTCAAACAAAGGATGGACAAGTATGGCGTTCTTAAGTAAGCTAAGCTCAGTTGAACTACCTGTTTCTTCTGTATGGGATTGTCTTAGTACCGTAGTTTTGCTTTTTGTTCTTTTTGTTGTATTCAGTTCGTTGAATAAACAGTGTGGGCAGACAGCAACAAATATGTTTCTAGTCTAGACCTTTACAGTTCCAATATAAATAGTGGATTGAATGCTTTTAAATCTTTAACCTTGCCTTTACTGGGAAATGTAGACATTCCCTTTTGCACCACCCACTGATTAAATGTGGATTAGACCGCATGTTTCGCTTGCACAATTTTTTGACATGCGCTTAAATTTGAACCAAATCAAACACCTCCACCCAAACTAATCATCTAATTTCCATGCCTCTACATTTTGCCTCACTCGCACTATTCCTCTGGCGCTGGTGGTGCATCATGTACACCATCAGTATGTTTCAGTCTTTTTCCCTCTGAAATGTCTTCCTCAAACTCTCTGTAGACAGACATGAAGGATGTGTTATTTGAAGTTACAGTGTGTTGGCAAGGACATAAGAAAATAAGCCTTGTTACATCAGAGTGTTTGCATTGTATATTTCCCCTTTTTTGCTGAAATAAGGTAATTTTCCTTAATGCTATGGGACAAAATAGTAAAATGATGTTCTGTCTGTGTGTATATCAACAGACCATCTCTTATTGCTGAAGGAATGCTGCGAATCATAACAGACGAAAGCCTAAATGGAGCCGTGATGAAAATAACCTGTTCTAAAGGCATTCACTTCCACACCTATGAGCCTCTTTCAGCTTGAGAGTGATGAACAATCAAGCCAGTCCTGTTTATTCCTCACCAGAACATTTATTTTATTGAAGTCCAGGGCAAACACTGGAAATAAATAGGGAGGGTATAGATTGTGTTAGAGGAGAGTTTTCTGTTTTTCAATTATCAGTTTTGTGCAGGCCTCTTTCTGAATATGTTTGATTTTTTTGTAATGCCCTTGAACATTATTTTGTACATAACTGCTTTAAATGTGAGTAATTGCTTTTGAGAGACAAAAACATCATATTTATTATTGGGGTGGTGGGATGGTGATGGTGCAGTGGATAAGACACATGCCTTTGGTGTGAGAGACCCGGGTTCGAATCCACTGTGAGACACCAATGTGTCCCTGAGCAAGACACTTAACCCAGTGTGACCTCTGACATATATAGCAATTGTACGTCGCTTTGGATAAAAGCGTCACATAAATGTAAATGAATAAATGTAAATGTAAATTATTAATGCATACTGTTTTGTGGCTATCATACCTCAATAGTGCTCAACCAAGCTTTTTTGTTTTGTTTGTTTTACATATAGATACTTGTGAGAGAATATCCGATGTTTTTAATGTAAAAATCAAACAATAAACTTCTGAAATAAAAAAAAAAAAGACTAATTTCTTTATACTTATGTTTTATTTATTTATTTTTACCAATACGCAACCTAAAATCTACGTGTCGTCTTGTAGTCTGTACTGGAATGGAAATCCAGAAACAAGTGTCACTTGGCAGCAGTTACATTCATGAAGTCCTTAGGAATATGCACATTTGCCTCCGCTTACCGCATTAAACAGAGGAGCCCTGCAATTTTAAAGGAGTAGTTCACTTTAAAAAAAAAAAAAACTTTTGCTGATAATATACTCACCCCCATGTCATCCAAGATGTCCACGTCTTTCTTTCTTCTGATGAGAGTTTCAATGCAGCTTCAAAGGGCTTTAAACGACACCAGATGATGAAAAAGGGTCTCATCTAAAAAAGAGACTCGAAAAAAGATTTGTTCATTTTGATGAACGAGTTTGAACAGGAGAGTCACGAACGTGCATCACAGAACAGAGCAAGGCGAGCATTTGTGCTTATAAAACTGAAACTTTTTTATTTATTTTTGAAATGACTGATCGTTTCGCTAGATAAGACCCGTATTCATCGTCTGGCGTCGTTTAAAGCCCTTTGAAGCTGCACTGAAACTCTCATTTGGACCTTGAAACATTTGGTTCCCATTGAAGTCCATTATATGGAGAAAATCCTGGAATGTTTTCATCAAAAACCTTATTTTCTTTTCGATTGAAGAAAGAAAGACATGGATATCTTGGATGACATGAGGGTGAGTAAATGATCAGCAAAAGTTTTTTCTTTTTTTTTTTAAGTGAACTACTTAAAGCGAAACGATCGCTAATTTAATACATTAATAACAAAGTTTAAGTTTTATAAGCTCAAATGCTGGCCTTGCTCTGTTCTGTGACGTGCGTTCGTGACTCTCCTGTTTGAACTCGTTCATCAAAATGAACAAATCTTTTTCCAAGTCATTTGGTTCATTCAACAAACAAAACGAACGAATTGACTCGGAAAAAGATTTTTGATGAACGACTTCAAACAGGAGAGTCACGAACGTGCATTGCAGTACAGAGCAAGGCAAGCATTTGAGCTTATAAAACTTAAATTTTGTTATTTATGTATTACATGAGCGATCGTTTCACTTGATAAGACCCTTATTCATCGTCTGGAATCGTTTAAAGATCGGTCAAATTACACATTGGTACCTAGTCAACCGTTATCTGAGATTTGTTTTCATGATTGCCGAATATAAACAGTTTTATCTCTAAAAACAGTTTAGCCTATAACATTAGTATAATGCTAGTATATAGGGCATAGAGTAATGACAAATAAAAATCGCTTGTTATTGCCACTAACAAGGCTCAAAATAGCCCCACACTAACACGACAGCATAATAAGGGTCCCTACATTCAACCGAAGCATTCAGAACTTTGTCAGTGTCCATACAGTTTAATAAGAAGATATTTTATACACACAGTCAACTTCGCGAATACAGGAAGGAGCCATCTTTGAAAAATAGTCTCTACCAGTCGATCTACGAACGCCGATCCAAGTGCGCTGAACTGATATCTCAGATAACGGTTGACTAGGTAACAATGTGTAATTAGACCAAAGGTTCATTTTGCGCTGGAGTTGTCCTTTTATAGATTATACTTATCTGCTAAGTGCTAACACTTTATTTTGATGTTCCCCCAACCATATAACCCCACCCATTCCACTACAGTCTACTCTGAGAATTAGATGACATTTAGTTGCAAAGTTTATTATATGTCTACAGTGTCCCATTAAAATAGTGTAACATTAACATTAGTTAACAGACAAAAGCAATGCCGTTTCATTCTAACAAGCTATTTGTACACTGTAAAATAAAACAGCCCATTCTCACCCCCAAGGCGTCACTTAACTGACGCCTTGGGAAGCATTTGGACATGCTTCAATATCTGACGCTTTAGGCGCCCTTTAGCGTCAGTAAGATGACGCCCTAGGATCGCGTGTACCCTACCCCCACCCCACACCTAAACCTAACCGCGTCCTCTAACAGACGCTTTCCTTTAGCGTCAGTTAGATGACGCCGTAGGATCGCGTCATGTAAGTGACGCTAAAGGGCGCCTAAAACGTCAAATATTGAAGCATGGTCAAAGGTGACGCCTTGGGGTGAGAATGCGTTGAATAAAATCCACCTGCCTCATTTCAATTTAAATTACATTAAATTTACTTGTATATTGTATATCTTGTATAACTTAAAGTAACAGTAAAAACATATGTTGTCATGATTTATTGATCATAATTTTAATAAAAATAAATATTCTCCATGAACTGTCTATAAATGCAGTCAAAACAAAAACATATCAATTCCAAAGGGTGCAGTACATATTGCAGCCCATTGACGCCTTGGGAAGCATTTGGACATGCTTCAATATCTGACGCTTTAGGCGCCCTTTAGCGTCAGTTAGATGACGCCCTAGGATCGCGTGTACCCTACCCCCACCCCACACCTAAACCTAACCGCGTCCTCTAACTGACGCTTTCCTTTAGCGTCAGTTAGATGACGCCGTAGGATCGCGTCATGTAAGTGACGCTAAAGGGCGCCTAAAACGTCAAATATTGAAGCATGGTCAAAGGTGACGCCTTGGGGTGAGAATGCGTTGCATATTGTGACATGTATTGCATCATTTTATCTTGATCAATCAAAATGACTTATCTGTTTTAAATACTTTCGGACTTGTGTTTTGTTATATCGTGGCATCAGTACAGTCACCAAGTCTACATTAGTTTCATAAATAATATAATGCCCTAGTTGGTTCACAAGGGTTAAATTTGACAAGAACAGTTCTAAGAGTGTCCAACTTTTTGCGCATCACTGTAACTTTGCACATTTAAACATCACAGAGATTACAAAGAATGTGACTCTGCTTTGATATGACAGCAGATAAAGATATGAAAGTCTATGAGGGCTGCACGGGAGGGAGATGTTTAAACGATGACTATTGATAGTCAGAGCTAGTCGAGTATGTTGAGGAATTCTTGAAGGAAGTTTTCTATATTCTACAAACATTTCCTCATTGAATTCTTGTAATAACCAAACACAAATGTGTTTTCATCTTATAATCAGTTAAAAAAAAAAGAGTAAAATACTTAAAACTGGTATTTCTTTACATAGGTCGTTCATGATCACAGTAACTACTGCTAACGTACAGACACATTTTGTATAGGGTATAGGTCGTTGAACTTATATCGGTCATATGAGTGAGAGGAGACCAGACGAACCAGACAACTGAGAGATCGCAGGTAAGGCCCTGAGGGGTGGGGTGTGACCACAGGTTAAACAGATAAGAAATCTTATAGGTAATCACTAGTAGGCAACCTCTGCTGAAAGATATGCAGCTCGGTTAGCTCACTGTAAGCATGAAGTTGTGACAAGAGATAAACAGTGTGTTGAATGACTTCCCTTACTGTGTGTCACAAATCTTTCATGAAGAAGCAATATGATCCTATGGATTGATTTTCAGAAGCAGAATTTCTGCATTCGAAACAAAGAAAAAACAAACAAACACAATGTGCAAACAATAAATGCTCTGATTACATTCAGAGTTTCTCCCCCATGAAAGATCACTTAGCATGCACACTGAGGCAGTGAATACAGATATCTGACAGCTCTAGGTCACAGAGGCAAGTACTGAACTTCCAATGGCCTAGATCATTTCCTGACCCTGGTGCGTGCAACTCGTGTTCACTTTGACAATCAATGTGCAAAGGGATTCATTACAAAGCAGCAGAAATGTTCATCCACTGAAAGTTTTGTTGTGTTTTGGAACTCCTCCATGCTGAGTAATATTTCTGAGAAATGGAAATGAGGCTGAGTGCTTCCTTGTGTGATCTCTGCACAGGTTTAACTTTTGGTCTCCCAAGCAAAGCAGAAATTTTAACATATGCATTTAGCGAAATGCATGTGATAATTACCTATTATCATTGTAAAGCCACATTGGAACAACCTACATTGTTAAAAGCGCTATATATATGAAGATGACTTAATCTTATAGGATGGGGTGGGGGGTTGGGTTGAACATGAAAAGGTGATCATTTGATCCATCATGCTATCTTCAAAACATTATCTATCAAATAAAAGGTATTAATTTTACACAAATAGTCTTAATCTCTGACAGCGTGTTGATAGTTTATTGGCGCCCCCCTCAGGACAAAATCCAAAATCCATAAAAATATACATATAAAACAAACACACACACACACACACACACACACACACACACATTTCCAAAACATTATTTACAGTTCATGCATTTCTCTATCAAAACAGTCTATCAAGAACCACTACTGAGAAACCATGACAGTAATTGCTGGTCAAGTCCAAAACAAATGTTCTGTTAAAAAATAAAAGAATTTAAATCAAATAGTTAACCCTTGTGCTGCATTAGATTTTTAACACCGTTGAGTGCATTAAGGACCAGAAATGGCCACATATTAAACATTGCCTAAAATATTATATATTATTATTATTTTCCACTTTTACCAAGTTAAATCTTTTAACCAGCATCAGTCCTCATCATAACTACCAAAAATGTATTC